AACAATCTCGCCGCCCATCACTCTACCCTTCCTACCTTCTCTTTATCCCCTGCCATCTCTCTCGTCTCAGTTTTTTACATTCTTCCCTCTTCTATCAGTCTTTGTCAGTACCCTCCATCCACCTCTGTCTTCACCCATGAAAGACCACCCCGCCCCACCTCCCCTCATTCCTTCGGCCTCTCGTGCACTTCACTCCTCCATTCAGCTCTTCTGGGCAAGCTCAGACAATCCTCATACTTACTCACCACCATCACCGCAGGAATGTGGACAGAAGGGGAAGCATTGACTCCAGGATGTTAAGAGAATGCAGTGACAGGAGACAGTGACATATGTCAGTGTGGCCATCCTCAGGGTTTGTTTAACTCTAACTGGTCTGAAGTTCAGTGTCGATGTTGATGGAGCTTACCAAAATACACAACACGTTCTGTTTTTGACCAAACCTGCCAAACAACAACCACTCTCACAAAATACTGTTGTTAAGCATACAGTGTGAGTCACCCCCGTCTCATCAACGCTCCTGTAAGATTGCACCCCATTTCATTTTTAATAGGAAATATTTGTTCCATACATTCTTTTGTTTTAAACAATTGTATGTTTTTTTCATCCTTAGCTTCTATCTTTAGTTTAAACACAGCAGATTGCACTTTGTTCATTCAGTCAGGATTTTTTAAAGTGTCACTGAAGTGTGAGTTACTGTAGAACACGCTCATAAATCAGTTTAATATGCAGCTTTGGGGGGTCCTTGACTTACATCGGAGTTCCGTTTCTACAGTGTGACGTAACCAGGTTTTCACCTTTATGGAACTTACATATTGTAAATCAGTACCTCGGTCACTCACCTGCACTAACACAGTAGGAACTTACATATTGTAAATCAGTACCTAGGTCGCACGCCTGCACTAACACAGTGGTAACATCATAATCTGGGACATCAAAACATCAGAAGAGTCTGACTTACACCTGGGAGGCATAATGAAGGGCAGAAGGTTCCCAAAAAAGCAACACAAACGAAAGAAAGCCAATGTAGCACAATCCAATGTCTGGAGTACAACTGGTGAATGTAAACAAAGCTGTCTTCTGCATGTGGTGCTACAGAAGTATTGCTCCGCTCCACTTGTCAAATAGTTCCCTGCAAACGAGCTGTTTTAATGCCGTATATCGGGATGATGGAACAAGATTTTCATAATAAATTTATGGGACACGGCGACATACCCATGAATCGCCGTAGGTCCAGGACGGTGTAACCGAGGATGCCCTGTTTTATCTTAATCCATGTTTTTATGATACTAATTTAAGCTGTGTATTTGTAATGCACCTGAGATTTATAATTTTACAATGACCATAATGATCTCATTTTAGGGTAAAGTCCGTCCTCAGGCAGAAACTGACTGTGTGGAACACCTCAGTAACCAGCTGAGGCGCCACCGCCGTCACCGTCGCGTCACGGACTCACAGCAGAGTCGAGCAGCACTGAGACGAATCCGGCAGCTTCAACAGACAGTGAGATGTTCACTTTCAATTAACGAATGAAGGTTTTAACATCACAATGAAACTCACACTGATCCACTTGTCTTTGCATCTTAGCCCGACGTGAGCACTGTCAACAGAGAACACTCGACCGGCCACATGGTGACGTGGACCGGACCTGGGTTTGCCCGTGTCAAGGACGCTGCAGGTCTGGTGTTCACTATAGATAACGTCCCCTACGCCATGGAGTATGACATCATGATCCGCTATGAACCTGAGGTCAGTGAATATAGATGACCACAGAACATATGCACTGTTCTGTGGTATCCAGCATAACTTCACCACAGGTCTCCTGTAAATGGGATTATAGTTTTTAGATGACATCATGTTCCAAGAAGATCAAGAAGAAAATAACAATAAAGACCTTAGGAGGCATTAGCTGACTGTGTAGGTTGAAGTAGTGTCATGTGATGATTAGAAACAGCAGCTATGAGTGCACAATTAAAGGTGAATATCTCTCTCTGTGTGTGTGTGTGTGTGTGTGTTCAGTCCACAGAAGACTGGGAGGCCATTGTCAGCATCACCTCAGTCATGCTTCCCTCTAGTCTCCGCTGTGGAAACCTGTTACCAACTGAGCAGCTCTACAGAGTAACATTGCCTCATCGCAACAGGTATAAAAACCTGTGTGAAACTGTTTGTGTGTGTGTAATAACTGTGGCCTCATGAGCAGCTGCACAAACCTGAATCTGTCTGTTTACACAACGTACGACACACTACAGACTGTGTGTGTTTTTGTTGAAGCCCAAGAAAGATTTTTTCCGGGGGTTTGTTCAGAGTGTTGATTTTACCGCTCTGGAAAAATGTCATCATTCCATTGTTATCGCTGAAAACCTGCCGTGACTTGTGTCAGAGTGCATATGTCAGACTCATAATTCAACCAACTATTCAACAGCGCTCTGATGTAGTCCTGCCGTGACTTGTGTCAGAGTGCATATATCAGACTCATAATTCAACAGCGCTCTGATGTAGTTGATTTTAAATATTGACTGTGGTATAGCAAACTTTCTGTATCATACCTAACATTCTTGAACTGATATTCATGTAGATATAAAACATTATGACCTCTGGGAGATAAACATAGAATGATAACGAAGCACATGAACAGTTCTTTATCTGATCCTGCAGCTGGTTTGTTTTTCTCACTTCATTGTGTGGTTATGTGTTGGCCAACATTTGCTTTCAGTCATCATCTCTCTCATATGGCATTGACATGTTAGACACATTTTGTGTTATTTCTGCTATGTTATATTGACAGTAGTGTTCATATTCAGAAACGTATGGAAAAACAGACAAATTTGGCCCAAAATGAAATACCTTGGGTTTTTTTGCAGGTATATCCAGATGCCCCGGCCCTTCTGCTTTGAGCCCAGTAATCGTTATGTGGTCGCCATCAGGTTCCAGCGCCATGGGGTCACACACAGACACCTGACTGCCTTCATCCTCGTTGACTCGGTGAGCAGTGACCTGGATTATCTTGGTTGGTTGATGGGTTAAGTACAGAGGACACATTTCCTTCTGTGTATATACAATGACAATAAATTGACTTAACATTATTGGTGGCTCCATAGTGTAGCAGTTATCACGCCTGCTTACACACCTGCCTTACACGTACAGTAGAAGGTCCTGCGTTTAAGCCCCATAGGACCCACATACTTGGTGCCTTCCATTGGGCTGCTAGTAAAATAATTTGACTAACTGCGAACATACAAGATTTGTAATCATTATCATCATTATTTTTTGCCTTCTTGTATCCCCTAGCTCGTCCTGATCCCCAAATACACAGAGCTTCCAGGCTTTCAGGGTAATGATGCCGTGGCAGAGCAGCGACGGGAGGAGATGATCCGCTACATGTGTCTGGATTCCTTCATGATCACACCCATGCCTGCCCTGGCTGAGATGTGCACCAAACTCATCTGCAGCATTTCATCCATCATTCATGACGGAGCTCTGCGTGAGTACAGCACTTTTCCAGTTAAATTGTGACATGAGCGGCTGCTCAACCGATCCGATGTCTTCTTCTCAGCCTGTCAGTGTGACCCGCAAGGCTCGCTCAGTGGCGAGTGTGACAGAGTGGGGGGTCAGTGTCGATGTAAACCCAACGTCATGGGTCGTCACTGTGACCAGTGTGCCCCAGGAACCTACGGCTTTGGAGTCAGTGGCTGCACCCGTGAGTCCAATTAAGACAAAAACTTGCAGTTGTGATGTCGTTTTTACTTTTGATGTCACCCTCTTTCACAATTGTATTTTATTTTGGTTAGATATATATTTAAACTTTACCTTCTATCTCATATGTTGGCTTTTTGTAATATATAAGAATTGACATTTTTGTCTTGTTATTATATAACCATAATTACCATTTTATGTCAGTCATTCCCTGATTTTTTCCTGATTTTCTTGAAGTTTTATTTTATGATCCCAGACTTATCTCATATCTTTGACTTTTTTTAAACTTTTATCAATATTTTTTATTATTATTATTGTGCCTGAATTTCAAAAACATTACAATTTAAATATCATTTTTAAATATTTTTCCTTTAATTTGTTTTTTATCATAAATATTTTACATATGTATTATAATAAAAACTTTTCTATACTTTAACTTTTATTTAATAGTTAATAGTTAAACTTAAGGTAGAACTGGGGAAAACCTCACTTTGTCTAAAATTTCTCCCCCTGCTGTCCAGCTTGCGACTGTCACCCAGATGGTTCTGTGAGCCACCAGTGTGATCCAGTTACAGGCCAGTGCCAGTGTAGACCTGGAGCCACTGGTCTGAGGTGCTCAGACTGTCAGCCAGGACAGTGGGGTTTCCCCAGCTGCACCCCGTGTCAGTGTAACGGCCACGCTGACATCTGTGACCCCAGCAGTGGAGAGTGTACACAATGTAGGGACTACACTGTGGGACATTTCTGTGAGCGGTAAGAGACAATGATCAAATCTGAGGTCAATAGATACATTGAACATTTTAAGTTGTTTTTGTTATGTATATGTAGCGTTACAAAATATGGTCATAATGTCCTGTCATTAAAACACGTTTGACAGACAATCTTTTATATAGCAAAATGGTGTCTCCAAAGACACCGTCTATCAAGAAATACTGTTACCTCTATATGCTGACATAATCACAGTTCTTTTCCTAGATCAGCAATCAGTTTTTAGAATCCAGACATGTGTGTGCACAAGCACACATCAAGTGTAAATCCTGACCAATAGGACAAAAGCATTTTGTGAGCCTTCAGTCTGTACTGACCATGTGTCAGTACTAACTTTTTTCACCTGACATTTGTCTTCTTGATTAATATCTTTCCAACACCCTGTTTTTCCAAGATGTGTGAATGGGTTCTTTGGAAACCCAGTTCTTGGCTCTGGAGACCACTGTCGGCCCTGTCCCTGTCCTGGAATCCCTGGCTCTGATCACTTTAACGGACACTCTTGTCACGCTGACCACGGCTCTGACCAGATCATCTGTAACTGCAAAAAAGGCTACGCTGGTAATGATTTACTATTTCCTTAAGCTCTTTTTTGAAGATCACCTTTTTATAATTTCTATCAGTTTGATTTTCAACTTTGTTTCTTTTCCTTCTCTCCCAGGCTCCCGTTGTGACCAGTGTGCCCCTGGTTACTACGGAAACCCAGAGCAGCCTGGTGGCCAGTGCCTGCCATGTGAGTGCCATGGAAACATCGACACCGAGGATCCTGATTCATGTGACCGCAGGACCGGTCAGTGCCTAAAGTGTCAGCATCATACTGACGGTCCCTCCTGTGGGCAATGTCAACACGGTTACTATGGCAACGCTGTCAATCACGACTGCAGACGTAAGTGGTTAAAAAAACGACAGTGATGGTTTGGATGATGATGATAACAGATAATAGATGATGAGATAAACGGTGTTACATTACTTTAGGCACTGTTTAACTTGTTATACAGAAAGTCTTGCCTAAAAGTTCAGTTTAAGTTGATATTAATTCATTTAGGTTAGGTTTGTATTGTTTAAGTAGAGTCGGTCAATCGATGTTAGGTTATTGAAAGGGTTAGTATAAAAGTGAGAGCCATCTAAAAATATGTTTCTTAAGTCAAAGTGTATGTATAATGTAAGTTTAGTCAGAAATCTGCAAACTTTCACTGCAGTGCACACCTCCTTGAGTCACAGAATGAAGACAGTACTGGTGGAGATCCAAGAAGCACCTTACAAATAAGGACACACCAGTGATTTATTCTACCAGTAGATTAATCAGGCCAGACAACTCGAGGACAGAGCGAGCGCTAATCAGTCTCAGACTTCATAGTTGTAATGAACGTCAGAGCTCCATGGTGAGCCACAGAGTGAAGGCACCGAGGTGAAGCACATAAAAACATCACCATAGTCAGTCAGCAGTAGGACTGCTGCTGAAACAATTTTAAAAGACAGTGAATTATCAATTAAGAATCCTTGATATTTATCTATTACGTTACAGATTTATTTATGAAGTTACAGAGTTACTGAGACTCAGTCTTTATCTTTGTCTTTATCTGGATTCAGTATTAGTTTTAACTGGTGAAAGTTGTTATGTAATGCACCCTGTAACAGACAGAGAGCTTGATGCTGTGTAGGAGCAGAGCAGTAAATAACACTATAATCTACATATGAATTAAATATGAATGGGCCCAGGACAGAGCCCTGTGGAACACCAGTGACTATGTTTGACAAGTAAATGAAGTTGGGCATAAGGTACTCTAAGTCACATGGACTGAAGTATATATTTTTGAGACAAGGTTAGGCACTATTAAGTATGTGGTTGCAACTCACATGTTGCCAAAAGTTCCCTTCTGGTGCTTGAACCCAGGACCTTCTGCATCCAAGGCAAGCACCATAACCACTACCCTAAAGAAGCAAAAACGATTTTTTTTCCATTCCAGTTTGTACCTGTGTGACGGCCGGGACTGTCCAGTCTGCCTGCACTGATGGTCAGTGTCACTGTGACAAAGAAACTGGAGCCTGTAACTGCAGGGAGAATGTCACTGGACACAACTGTGACCAGTGCTCTCCAAACCACTGGAATTATGGTCAGGAGAGAGGCTGTGAGCCCTGTCACTGTGACCTTCAACATGCCCAGGGAGCTCACTGCAACATGGTGAGAAGGCACCAGGCCATAACATTGGGTTCCACACAATCGGTACTTGTACCAAGTAGCCTAATGCACACAGCAGTGTTTAAGACAGGACTTTCCTTCTGACTCTACACAAAGTAGACCAATAACCAAGTGTCTGCTGAAGTCCCTGTGGATAATACTGGTAGTGATAGTAATAATATAATAATTTAATGGTAAAAAAGCTGGAATAGTTAATACAGTGGTGTTTACCTAAAAGAATATACATTTTCAATACTACCATGTTATAGTACCAATATAGTAGGGTGGTACAGTAGAGCACAGGATGACAAAAATGTAAATATTGCTAATTAATTTTTTTTATTTTATAAATATGGATATTGAACATATATTGAAAAATAAGTCACTGATTTTAGTGAGGTAGTAGCATACTGCCAAGGCCATCAAAGTTACTTACTTAAATTACATGTGAGAGGTTATTGTGAGGCTACAAGAAATATACAGTAGAATGCATATTCTGCCAACATGTCCTACCTGGTTGTATTGTCATTAAGTGTCCCATAGTGTCACTAAGGGAACCAAATGTTTGTTCAAAAAAAGTACCGTAATCCTTTGGCTGGATTTGCCACTTATACTTTAATAATGTTATTTTCACTCTGACTGCAACTAGAGGGCGCTGGTGAGACTTATACTCCGGAGCGATATATACATTTTGTTTTTTCTTCATTATGCATGTTTTGACTGGTGTGACTTATACTCCGGAGCGACCTATAGTCCAGAAAATACGGTATATAAAAGAAAAGGTTTTTGTCTTGTGCTGTTTTTTAATTGTAGATCTTATAGCTCTTTCTGTTTCTCCCACAGTTCACAGGTCAGTGTCACTGTCGCCCAGGCTTTGGAGGCAAACAGTGCACCGAGTGTGAGCAGTTCCACTGGGGAGACCCTCAAGTACACTGTCAAGGTAACTTTCCTAGGTGGTATTTTTTTAACTGTCTGTGTTGAGTATACAGACAGAGCTTTGTACAGTGACACTGAAAATTAAAACTCGAATCCAACTGATCACCATGTAAATGGATTTTATCAAAGCATCTGTAGAGTAGCTACATGTTTTTGCCTTGATGAACTGCTTTGATATGACCAGAAGAAGCAACATTTATTTGCAGGCTTCTTTTTTCTTATTCAGAACAGCAGGGTGTCTAAAAGTTCTCTCGCTTCCATTCAGAGGTCTCTGTATGTATAACCTTTTAGCAGAATTTCCTTTTTATATCAAGAAGCTTTGTATTGGTTGGTCTGTGTAATTTTCTCCATAACAAGAAACGGTCCCCCACATCTCCGCTCTTTTCTCCTTCTCTTCCAGAATGTAAATGTCACCCCCTGGGCTCAGAAATTGCCCAGTGTGACCGAACAACAGGTGACTGCATATGTGTGAAGGGAGCTGCAGGGAGACATTGCGATGAGTGTGCCCGAGGGTTCACGGGCGTCTTTCCAAGCTGTATTAGCTGTCATGTTTGCTTCCAGCTTTGGGATGATGCACTGTGCCAGATTAAACGTGACCTGGAACACATCCAGTACACTGCTCAGAAGATCCTGGACAGTGGAATCACACCGGGACTGGAGGATTCACGTACAAAAGAGCTGGAGAAGAAGCTGAGGCTGATTCAAGAACTGATCAGCGGGTATGACACAGACAGAGTTCATCAGCTGATTGGACAGAGCATCGATGACCTCAGGTGAGGATGGAAATCAGTAGTAAAACATATAATAACATATAATAATAGCATAATAGCAAAACGTAGGACAGTAACATAAAGTAACCTTACGGTACAATTTATATCATCTATTTCACCTCCATCATTTATTTTCTGTTATTCTACAATACACAGGAATCTGTGCTTTAAGAAAAGATCGGTGCTAAGACTGTTAATTTTAGTTAAATTGCATTTGACACTAACACTTGCACTTTGATATTTCAAAATCAATTTAAATAAATGCAAACTATCAAAATAGTTCTGTAAAATAAATCATAACTTTAGTTAGAAAGAGATTGGTTAAAATTGAGGGGGAGGTTATATAAAGTTATAAACTTATTGATCATAACCTTTAATTTGAATTTCAAAACTTCTATAACAGCAACTTTTTCAACAAATCTACTTAGTTATAAAACAGCAAAGAGAACAGAGACCTATCCAAAAAAAAAGAGCTAACCAAAATTAGCTGATGTAGTGCAACAGTGGGTTAAATTTGTAACTGATGATAACTTTTTTGTGATTCAGGGCTGAGATTGCCCTGACTGATGGGCGTTTGATGAGTATCACCAGGGAACTGAATACCACAGAAGAAGAAGATGGCTCACTGAGACGCACACTGTCTGTTCTGGAGAGAGAACTGAGAGACATCAATACAACTGTGGCTGAAAAGAAGGAGCTGCTGGAGCAATATCACAGCGCTGGATTTAATGGTGAGAACACCAAGTACAAAATACAAGAGTGGAGTAACAGGTTGTATGTCGGCCTCTCTTGGTCGCTTGAGGGTAGAAAGAGCAAGACTAGTCCATACAACTGGTTAGTAGAGTTTACAAAAGATAAAAACCCTACTAAAAAGCCTTAGAACCAAAACTTTATTTCAACTTAGCAAGAAAGTTTAAACTTACGTAATATTTTTAGTTTCAGGGTTGTATCTTTTTATGTTTTCCTTAAATGCACTTGTCATGTCTCTTTTCTCAGACCAGTTTGATAAAGTGAAGAAGTATTACCAGGAGTCAACTGAAGCAGAGCAGAAATGTAATGCATCAGTGTCAGGTCCCCTCAGCCCAGTGGAACAGTCCAATCAAACTCGAGCTCTCACTGAAGAGTTGCTGGAAGCCAACAGAGAGAAGTTCCTTCAAAGTCTAGCTGCTCAGAACCAAACCCTGGACGAACTGCAGGAGAAGACGAAAGACCTGGACGACATGGTCCAAAACCTAAGTCAAAAGGTAGGAACCACATTTGTTGGTGTAAATATTTTCTATTAAATACAGGATTATCCTGAACCTTTGTTTTTTCAAGTTCTGTGAGTTTGACGTTTAACCCCTAATGGTTCAGTGATGAAGTCAGCCTGTTTTCACATCCTAAATTATAGTAGCAGATACCTCAAATTACCAAAGTCATTAGGCAAATCTGCACTGATTGTGATACCAGTATCAGTATCAGGCCAATACCTCAATCAAATACTCATATTTGAAATCATGTGCTGATTCAGCGCCCCCTACTGCTCACTGACTTCTAACCACTTTCACCTGTTAGCCAGTTTTTTTTCCTTTGTGTTGTATAATTATTTCTCATGATAGGTGCAGTTATATATTGTGCAGATATATTGTCTAAAGCGACTCTAATATCAATTTGAAGACATTTGGTTTGATACGATACAGGCTTTTTGTTTAGGTTGAAATAGCGTTAAAACACTCCGTTAGTATTTTCAGGCTGTTCTATTCATTATGGATAGGTTGAGCTCACTTACACACCGCATGTCAACCTATTTCCTCCTTGTTCCATATTCATTGAAACACAACCTCGGTGTTGCTGCTCGAGCAGTAGGGAGTAGACAAATGAAACTATTTATACCCCTTAGTTTGTAAGGAAAATGGTATCAATACAAATCTGTCAAAGACATATAAATACACACAGTATATTGGTTAAATGGTTAAGAAGAGCATCAGAATGTAGCTACAATAATAATTCATCTGCTTAATTTTAAGAAGCCTGACCAGTGCATGAACCTTACCACAGACCGTGCCGTTTTTCCACTTGTGTGTGCAGTGAGACTGGCCTCTAGTGGTCACAACGAGCTTTGCAGCCTTGGTTTTTTTATTGAGTTTTTTTTCACTGGCTATCTAAACTATTGTCTCTACTTTGCCCTCAGGTATGTGGTGGTCACAGCAACATCAGCCTGAACGGTAGTTGCCCTGATAGCGTGTGTGGTGGCGCCAGCTGTAGAGATGATGAGGGTAACAGAGTGTGTGGAGGAGATGGATGTAACGGGACAGTGAGTGCTTCACTGGACGCCCTGAATCATGCCAAGATTGCGGCAGAGAATCTAAACAATGCCAAGGTGGAGCTGCAGGGAGTCGCAAAGAAGGTGAGAAACTAGAAGTGTGTTTGGGTGCCATCGGTTTTCTTGTCATCCGTTTAGATAACAGATGAAAAACCTGATGGTTCTGTGTTCTTATTAGCTCCAGGATATTGCTACACTGACACAGGACGTAAAGGCGCAGGCGATGAATACACTGGAGAAAGCCCAGAGGAAGAAGGAACACTTTGAGAACAACAACAAGAAGCTCAAAGATTTTATTAAGAAGATCAAAGACTTTCTTATGGGTTTGTATTTACAGGACACCATGCTCTGAAAAAACCCCAAACATCTGTCAGGTGTGTTTTTAATTTACTTTCGTCTCCAGAGGAGGGAGCTGATCCCGAGAGCATCGAGAAAGTGGCTCTGCATGTGCTGTCCATCAGGCTTCCGGTCAACAAGACCATACTGGACAACATGGTCACACAGATAAAGGGTCATCTGTCAAACCTCACTAACATCGAGGACATTGTCAACCAAACCTCACAGCATGTCAACAAAGCCAAGGAGCTGCTGGAAAAAGCAAAAGAAGCCAAGTAGGAAGCATAAAGATTCACCAGAATCGTTTTTGGTGGAAACCGACATGTGTCTAATCATATTGAAATAAATAAATGTCTCGACTTGTGCAGGACAAGAGCAGAGGGAGTAAAGGATGCAGCCAATGATACCCAACAGGCTTTGGATGTGTCTGAGAGAGCCATTGAAAAAGCAAGAACAGCTCTGGAAGAAGCCAAAAATAATCTGAACAGCACAAGAACGGCAACCTCTGAGGTGTGGCAACAGTCTGAAACACTGCCCGGCAGAGAACTTTAACCATAGGCCATTAACGCTGGGTTTCTTTACAGGTGGATGAGAGGCTGGGGCAGTTGGATGACAAGCAGATGGACATCATGATGCGTTTACAGAACCTCTCCGAAGGCGTAGAGGCTCTAAAGAACAAGACGGAAATGAACAGACGGATGGCGATAGAGGCCAAGGATCAGGCTAACAATGCCACTCGGATGGCCTCCTCACTGGAGAAGGTACGCTCTGCCTGCTGTGAAGGTTTGTGCAGGTCCTCAGGGAGGAAAAGTGAACTTACTGGCGATGTTTTTGTGTCTCTGTAGAGTCTCAATGACACAGAAAAGCAGTATCAAGAACTGCAGACGAAGGTGAACTCTCTGGGTGGAGAGTCTGGAGGACTGGACAGCATCCACCAGAGGGCCATGGAGATCAAGAAGGAGGCAGATGAACTTTTAAACAAGGCCACAAATGGAATAAAACAACTGGAGAGTAAGTTGAGAAAACATCTGCTACTCGTGCTGTTGCATTTTCAGATGTGTGAATGCCTGCTCTCTCTGGTCACAGGGCTAGAGAAGAAATTCAAGAGTAACGAGAGGCGGATGCAGATGCAACGTGCGGAGTTGGACGAGCTGATGGGCAATGCCACGCTGGCGAGGGATGGTATCCGGGAACAATTGCAGAAGTACAGTAACTGTGAGTGAGGACGAGTTGGTTTCCTATACTCTCTCTAAACCTTATCCCGGAATAAAAACAACATTATTACATTATTAAAAACCACAAAACAAGCTGCTCTGGTGTCTTTAGTTTTCATATTCTCACCGTCAAGTGTTATATGACAGAGGTGCTCTTTTCCTCTGTCCTCGTTCTGTTCCGTTTTACATCACTAAGCTATTTCAACCTCAATGGAAATGATTGGTCTGACTTTATCCACTGCTGAGCAGATTATTGGTTACATCAATAATCATATGTTATATAAATATACACATATATACATACAAATATTATATGATTTCATCCATAAAGTGTTTTTATTTCTACCAATGGTGCTTTTTAGTTTTTATTTTGTGTGTGATTTTACATGTTAGTATATTCATCATGAACTTTTATGGACTCAAACAATGACTTTGAATTTATTTTCTAAAGAGATATGTTGTGCCTACTGTATTGGTGATGGAGGTCAATAAATATATACCAGTTATATAATATATGATTTTAAGTGTTATGTTTTGTTAAAGAAAATGTCAAATAATCACCACAAGGAGGCGCTTTCTTCCCTGTAGCCTCCTCCTGGACTTGAAGTTTCCCTGCTGCCTGTCATGGCATTTATTCAGTTACCGGATAAAGAAAAAAAGATTTTAGGTCCTATTAACCTGTTATTATTTCAGCTTTTTTTTTTTAAATTTCCACAAGCTCCTTGGGATTCTTTGGCTAAATTTAGGCATTATGTGAACAGGTTTCATTAGGCTAAGCCTAATTTTTATTAGATAGTTTTTAGCTATACTTACAGAAGTCTATTATAACCATCAACTTTGGACCTTTTTTGTGTACATTTTTAATGAGTCTTGAATACATTTCACTCAGCTATTCCTTTAAAAAAAGGAAGAACTTTTGGCAGGACTAAGGTGTTAGTGCTCAGAGGTAATACCCCATGTATCTCTAACGTGGCAGCTGTGTTCAGCCACAGACTGTTTCTGCTGATCTGTGTTTCCTTCCACTTGTTTCCCCTGCTGCTGTTTGCAGGCCTCTGCTAACAAAGGCAGGCTGTCCTCCAGCAGCACAGGGAATGTGTGTAATATGACAGCGGTGGTATCGACAGCAGCAGGCTTTGTTCTGCACAACACACCGCCGGCAGCAGCCGCAGCATGGGCGGAGCATCCACACCTGCACAAACACACACTTTAAAAAAAAAAAAATCAGACCTAGCACCTGTGCAACATGAGGCAGTGGTCTGTTCTCTCTTTACCAAATGTATATACATATTGTTCGTTGAAATTGTCTTTACATTCTAAAAATCAACAACACATCTCATCTAGAAAGTTTGGTCTCCCCACAAAAGCCCAGATTTGAAATCAAGTTTTTTTTCCTTATGCAACACCAACTAAAAATCAACAACACATCTCATCTAGGCTAAGTTTGGTCTCTCCACAAAAGCCCAGATCTGAAATCAAGGTTTATTTCCTTGATTTATTTTGCAACACCACAAAAAACATGTCATGTATGTTAAGGTACAGATGTTTGTCTGGTCAAATGCAGGCAAGTAGAGGTTGGAGGCCAACCACTAGGCAAGATCAGCATTATTGGTCTGACAAAAATCCTGTCTTGTCTCCTTCAAGGGATTTTAAATTTTACTTAATTCACATAGATGTATCAAGGCAACATGCGTCATTGAGTTCTTCTTCCTCATCTCTCTGGTCTACCCCTCCTTGAGTACTGTTCTTAAAATGTAAATGTGTTTGGTGGAGGACTGTTTCAGGCTTCTGCAACAATCAAAGGAAATACAATAGGTCCAGTAGGCAGCATACATTCCTGTTCTCCGTGCACGATCAGTGTAGGGCATAGACAGAGGTTCAACAGAGCGCATGTAGTGGGTCAACAAGGCTGCTATTGGATGATCTTCATTGTCTGTCACAAGGTCTGTTCTACTGTTTATGTCATTCGCATTGAATTTTAATTTTAATAAGTTAACATTGTGCCTCAGTGCTAAAATAGCATTAGATATGAAATGCAATCCACATCATTTCCTTAGTTTTAACAGTATCAAAGCAGATACATTTTCAGATATTTTCTGTGAATAAAGCTCTCATTTAGTGATGGGAAGTTATTCAAAACTATCAGTGTACAATACCTCATACTAACTAGCTGCTACATTAAATATACAGTAATAACCCAAGGAAGATGGGTGATATATGTATAATTTATTGTTTTGGTTCAATGTATTTGTGAATGTTTAAAAGGAGCATACAGCTCTAAAAAAAGGTGGACCTTCAGGAGTTTCATTTATCAGCTTGTACCAGTTGCCTCCATCTTATGGACCAGGGTTTAGACAGAAAAAAAGGAGAATTCTCGAAAAATGCCCTAATTATGACTCGGTTCTATTCGTCTTCTTTCGGGTCTTTTCGGCTCTGCTCCGCCCCATGATTCCATGCCGGGTTTTCTATCAGAAGCAGCAGCAAAAGAAGTGACTCCTCATCAGGAGAAAGCTGCTCAGCTCTGAAACAAGTGGAGGAAAAGTGAGGAGGTAAAAGGAAGTTTGTTCCAGCGGCGGAGAGTGGAGGTCCGAGGTCGGTAAATCATTCTTTTACAGTTTCATTGTTGCTGACTTCACTGTAATATTGCGTGTGGCTCGGTTTTAGTTGCCTCTGACTTTGTTTTTAAACTTTAAACACTCGACAAAATGTCAGGTCTTTCTCATAAGGCTGGCTAAAGTAAAACAATACTCGGCAGGTCCATCATCTTCTTATGTTTCCGTCAAAGGAATGAAGACATGAAACAAACAGTAAAGTAAAACTCAGCTTCACAGCTGTATATTTTACGTTTTTTTTCATTGTAATTGATTTTTTCTCGTCAATAAAGAACAGTATTTAGTTTTGTATTTGTTTGTTTACAGTTGGACCACGGGAATTAGTTGAATAAAAGCAACTGTTTCTACAAATGTGAATATGAGTTTATTTACATGCCCTAAACAAGGTCTATGAGATAATGTTTTATTTCTTTATTATGCCACTCGTTTGTTCATTTATTTATTTAATTTATTTTCATTAAGTGTCGAAATAAAATAATAAAGTAAAGAATAAGAAAGAAGGGAAAATACAGAAATGTACTATTTACTTTATTATAATATATACCCCAAGCTGCAGCGTATTTGTATTATATCTTTTCCTGTGGTATGTTTACTTATGTTATATTTACTTTACCATTTTTTATGAAATAAATACGTAATAGCCTCCAGTTTTTTTTATTGTAAATGTAAAAAAAAAACCAAAAAACTTGCATGCGTTGCATTTCCTGCAGTTGCGTGTCTGATGTTGACTTGTTTGTCCACCACAGAAGGTCTGTCTTCAGGCCCGAAGATGACAAAGATGATGATGACGATGCAAGCCTCTCTGCTGCTGCTCTCTGGTGAGGAAACACTTTACTTTGACGTCGATCCCTGTTCTCTGCTCCGTAAACAGAATCTACAGAAGTGATTCAGTGGAGAAGCAACAGGTGTCTGCAGCTCACTGTTCACAGAGAGAGAGAGAGAGCATTCTTTTGGAGAGAGAGAGAGAGAGAGAGCATTCTTTTATTACTCTTTCATAGTGTCATGTTGATGTTGAACAGTTAAACGAAAGGCCCTTAAACTTATAGCTTTAATCTATTATCTAAGTGAGACTTCTTGGTATTTTATTTGCAATGACAGAAAGATAAGGAACTGGTTTCTGTCTGAAAAAGTCTAATTCAGAGTACAGCCATAAATACAGCAAAATTATTTTATATTTAAAAACTCAATACCAGAATAATATGTATTGTAATTAAATATAGCCTAGTTTGTGCTATTGGTGTGAACTGTAAATCCCATTTTCCGTCTCACTGCTCTCATTACCCAAGCTCAGGTGGAGCCAGCAGTCAGACATGGTGGATGTAAGTCAGGACGTGTGGGCTCCTGCTCAGAGATTAGATATAGCTGCTGTTACTTTTTTAGGGCCCCTGATGCCCTCCTGGTCTCTGGGGTCGTCCCTGTGTCTCTGTGTTTCCGACTCACCGAGGGCGGTGTGTGTCTCCCTCAGTTTATGGTCCTCTTAAAACAGTCCCAGCTGAGTCCACAAATAGAGACATGCAGTTCTTGCAAATCGACCTACAGCACAGCTCAGAACCAAGCTGGATGTTTGTGGACCTACAGGTTTGAATGCATAAAATAACAACAACAAAAAAAAACAGCTGATACAGTCTTCAGGCTTAGAAACGTTTAAAAAAAGATACCATCTTAAGGCTGAAAACGTGATGTGACGAATGCGACTAAGGAGTCGACCAGGCCCCACATCCATGTGATAAATATGGGTTAGGTGTTAGGGTTAGGGTTATGATCTGTTATAGTATCTGCACATAAAGCAGTCCCCCCAACCATAGTGCTATAGTACTTGAGTTCAGGACTACTGACATGACTAAAAAAAAACAAAAAAAAAATGACTTACCGCTAGGTTTTCTTGTTGCTTGATTTCCAGACTGTGACACTTTTATTTTTCTTAAACTGGGAAATGACTCTGGCAACAAATTGCAACTATCTCCTGTGTCACCGAGACCAAGGGTCACCTAGACCGGGGTCCCCAACCTCTGGTCTGGGGACCGGTGCCAGTCCTTAGGTCATTTGGTACCGGCCCGCAGTGGGACACAGTTAATAAAGGTACTTCAGTTAATCTAGAAATTGTTTTAGTTTTAAAACAATCGGTAATTCAGACTGAGATATTAACAGAATAAAGTCTAAAAGATGGTTTATTTAAAAAAAACGAATGATCCTATAACGATGCTGCTGTATTAACAGTCCACAGTAACTGACTGGTCCTTGGTACAATAAAGGTCAGGGACTGCTGACTGAGACTCTGACTCAAGGCTACATGAACTCAAACCTTTCTTTAGTAACAAGAACTTTGAATGAAACCCTGGCATTCTATTGGATTGTGACTTGGACTCAGGGTTAATTACAATTTTAGGCCTTTAAAACAGACTTAAATTAACTTTTTCTTTAAATCTAGATTCTTAACTGCCAAAGCCCAACATTTCCTCCGTGACTATAGAACCATAAAAATTCTGTGATGGCTTAGATTTACCTCAAACATACAGTAGATAACTGGACCATAACATTGGTGATGGAGTGGACATTTGGTCTGAGTTTTGAGCCTACAGTCGGAGCCCAACTGATGGCAACATCCTGGTGACCTCAGTATCTCCAGCTCGTTCACCTCCTGCTGAGTCTCCAGTGTTTAAGACAGTAGTAAAGACTTATCCATGAAATGATCCTCAATAAAACACATCCCAATACATTGTTCTCTGGAACGAGAAGACAATGGACTCATTGATACACCTTTATTCTGTTAATGCCCGCTGTTACCTCCCAGAGTGTGGCTTTAGACAGAACCCAAACTAAGACAAAAGCTCTTTATGATGTTTTCAGGTCTGGAGAACATCTGAATGCTTCAGTCATGAGGTTGGTTCTCATAAAACATGGACGCCAGCAGGGATTCAAGAGCACAGATTTAAAAGGATGTGTCAGGGTGCTGCAAGGCTTTTCGCCAGTCCTGCAGGTGTTTCTTTAAGTACACCAGTAAACAAAACTTCCAGTGTTTGACCTAGTCAACGCTGGACTGTTATGATGGCATCTACGGCTGCTTAAGTCTAAATCACCCTTGAACTGAAAAGCTACAGTTTGTGTTGCTTTGTAGAGCTGCTTCCAAATTTCAAAAATTTTCAAACAAAATTCAATTTAGATTTGTTTTAACTCAAAGGTATCTTTTTTTTAATTTATTTTTTGAAATGTAGCTCTTTATCGATGCTGTTTAGCTATTTTGACTTCGACATGAAATTTGAATTGAAACATGAATTTGAAACCCATATAGTTTTGTTCTTGTGAACCTTGATTTGTTACCAACTATTTTGGTATAAATATAATGATCTAATAATTATTTTATGTTTTAGCTTCTGGGCTAATAAAAATGTATCTTTTATCTATTATGGGCAAATCACATGTTTTCTGTTGGAATTTGTTGACTTTTTTCCTACTTTTGGCTTAAAAATATAAATTTTTGGCTAACATTGACGGAATGAGAGCAGTCTTTTGTAAAGTGTCTAAAACCATGTTTTAGAGTTGAAAGGTGAACCAGTGTGTAGGACGTGAAGTGTGCGTAAAAACCTCACACACTGTCATTATGGAGATACAGAGCTGTCTGTTCAGACTCTGGACGCCTCTAAGGACATAGCGCGAGGTCAGAGGTCATGACCCTGGGTCAGCGTCACGGTTAATTTGCCTGTGTTTGTGTGTGTGTGTGAGTGAAAGTGAAAGGGGCTGCTGACAAAAGACGCAGTAGTGCCTTCACTCCTGTTTTTCTCTTTCCCCTCTGTTTTATTTGTATGTGTACTAAAGACCTCTGCGTGTGTATTTGTGTGTTTTTGTTCGCATATTGTGTAAAAATGTTTTGCCAACTTGAAGTAGCGTTGAATGTCAGCTTCTCAAGAAAGTGTTGTGTCTGAGGGAGGCGTCGACTTGTTATTCCTCCACAGGAAGGGAGAGAGGAAGTGGGAAGAAAGAAAGGATGAAATATTTAACATGAAAGAGGATCTGGGTTTGACTCATGATGCAGAGAAAATCCTCCGTAATTCACCTTTCTGGCAGGTGTGTGTGTGTGCGTGTGGGTTTGTCTGTGTGTGTGTGTGTGTGTTAGAGCATGTGTGTCCCATGGCCTTTGTATGCGCCAGCCTCCGGAAATGTGCAGATACCAGAACAATGGTGCAGAAAAGCCCTACTAACAAGCAGCACATTAGAGAGAGAGGGAGAGAGAGAGGGAGAGAGAAGGAAGGATAAGAGAGAGGCTGAAAGCAGAGAAGGGATTGGATAAAATTAGGACAAAGAGAAAATAAAGGGAAATAGTTCAGGTGAAGGTAGAGGGGGAGGAGAGAGAAGAGAAGAGAGGAGTTTGTTTAGAAGAAAGGACAGTGAGTTAGGTTTCCCTGTTTTATTGGCACAGGATTTTGTGGATAAAAACGCGGACAATGGAGGTTTATGGAGCCGGTGGAATAGGAAATTAGTGGCAGGATGGCAGGGGTAGAACAGGAGGACAGATTACTATGAACCTCAGTGAGTCACTTTTAGTCTTGTAGGGCTTTTGGTTACAGTTTGTGAACCTGAATTTGCCAGCAGGGGTTTGTGGTTGCTGTTGAAGTTTGCGATACAAACTAAAATCTTGGGTTTTGTTATAATTCGAACCAGATTTTACTGAAAAATTGTTAATGGAAATGTTAACCTGCTTATTACTTTGTTGTGAAGCCGGCAAAGAAAACTGCCACATCAGTAAAAAAGTTTTTTGGCACAAAATGGAAGAGAGATCTCTCTACAGTTATTGTTGGGGGCAGTGGTGGCTTGATGGTTAAGTGGACTTGGGTCTGGAAGGTTTCAGGTTCGAGTTACCACTGAGGTGCTCTGAGCATGGCACCGTCCCTACACTCTCCCTGGGTGCCCCCTACTCACTTTGGTGATGGGTTAAGTCTGCAGATCTAGAGAGAGGAAGGAGAGAGGCGTCCACCGACTGATGAAATTCAGAAGTCTTCTATGGAGCTAGACTGTGCTAAAAATGCACTAACAATTAACATTGTTGTTGATAGTGTAAATGAAAGACAATGGGGGGATGTGGTGCAGCGGTAAACATGACTCTCGAGTGTTGTTGAAGGAAGTTTCGTGGATTTGTCCTACAATTATTTTGTATTCAACTCATGTAAAAACAATAGTGAGTGGAATTATCCATATACATTCCGGTATTATTGAAGGGAATTAGGACTCAAAGCAGGGATGGAGAGTGTCGTCCATCTGTTTTTATAATTCTAATTTAACTTCTGTTGTCATTGAGGGGTCTCCTCACACTGTTTATTTGTTTTACTGCGTCAATACTCACTCTCTATCTATTTTACTCTCTCCGTCTCCGTCTCTTTCTCTCTGACACACACACACACACACACACACACACACACTGATAAAACAACCCTGTGTCCGTAAACCTGGTCCAGCTGCCTCGTGTCTGTGTATCAGTTCCATGTCACTGAGCTCCACTCTGACCTGATGTTGCTGTTTTTAATGTGATTCTCTGCTTCATGAAGCATCACCTAGTGTAAAAATTTAACATCTTTAATTAGCGCAGAAGTCACAGGCCAACGTCCAGTAGCTATACTCTTAAAATTGTACATTTGGTGAAAGTCTCAGGGTTTCCCTAGATATGTGCATCACATTTATGTGGTTAATAACCTTTCACCTGGGGGTCGTGGTTAAACTTAGTGCATCATTTTCCATTGTGTAATATACGGTTTGCTTTTTTCCTGCTCTTTAGAAACGAGTAGGTCATCAGACCCCACACATGAGTTGTGCTCCCCAGTGTATTGTG